ATATTTTTCTCTATAGGACGCTAATGATGATGAATACTATTCATCCAAACGGAATGTTTTATTTCTCGAGTGAATAGCGAACACGAGCGCAGTACAATCGCCAATAATTCCTATTTTATTCGGTTTTGCGTAAACAGGGTGGTTAAAAAAAAAATTGAAGAAAACCCCGGGAAATTCAAAGAGCAGGAAAAGTCCAAATGAAAATAAAAAAAAAAAGAGGTTGAAAGGTCAAAGAAAGTGAATTGAATGAAAAGAGCACGGAGGCGAGATGAAGAGGAGAATGGAAAAGGCAAAGGCACGGGTATAATATAAGAGTGGATGAAGTATTTTGCCTTTCATTTTACCAAAGGCACCCCATACACCCCATATGCACCCCCCGAACACACCCCATACACACCCCGTGTGGAATACGCACATACATTTAGAGGAAAGTCATTGGCGTCTCGTGTGGTACTGAGAGTACCTCGGCTAAGCACTTCAGTACATACAGAATACATTCCCCATACTGAAAAGGGGGAATAGGGGGTGTAGGGGGTTAGGGAGGGGATCGCCCGCGGATGTAGAGCCAGGGGTTGTTGGTGAACGTCACTCTACGCTACTTCCGGAAACGATAAATGTACACAGGGTACACTATAACGTTCTCTTAGCCCCATGTTGTTATGTCACACGTGTATGCATGTAGGTGACAAATGTCTGTCAATGCTCGGGTTTAATTGCCCGTCAATTTCCCTTTCTCCGGGACCATCGCAATCCCCTGATTTTCAATCTCAATGAGCGCACTATTTTTCCCTTTTTTTTCTACACCGTCTCCGACATTTTAAACATTTTTTATAATCACTGAAGTCTCATGCTAAGAAAATTTTCTTTGATAAATTAAATCGATGATTTATTGAATTTATTCGAGATTGTCCGGCTTGGAAAAAATATGTAAAATAAATATTTTTGACATGCAGTTATAATGAAGACTCTGAAAATTCAAGTTTTATTGATAAATAAATTATTATTCAACATGAAAACTCAAGATTCAATTTTATTGGAGAGGGTCAATTGAAATTCGATTCAAAAGCTGATAATTTGAAATTCAGACAACACCGTGACTGAAATATTGAGAAATTCCGACAATTCCCATTCCAAAAATAATTTAAAAAATCTTTCAACTTCAAAAAATCCGGCGCTTTGTAACATCTGTGACAAAAAATTTCCCCGAGGTACAGTTAATCATTAAAACTCCCCGATAATTAAAATTATGGGAACAAAGGCACTTTGCTAATGGCTAGAGCCGCCTGGTAAAACGATTGTTGATGTGTATCGATACATCGACATGCTGATACCAATGGAATATGAGAGTCTATGTACATAGGGATGCACTCGATTGGCTGTAAAGGACGACCACCCCCTCTATCTTCATTTCACCCGTGGAATCCCCGTATATAAAAAGAAAGAAGAAAAGGAATAAAAAAAAGTAGCGAATTGAGAGAATTTTGCAGCGTCGAATGGTGTGTACGAATGTTATTTACGAGGAGAAACGGAAATGGATAGAAAAGGGCCATTGGGGGTGAAAGGAAAGGGAGAGAGAGACGTCAGAAATGCGCCAAGAGTGGAATAGAAAAAAGGGGGAGAGGGGTATATGTATGTACCAAATGTATATAGGACTGAGGTAAAAAGAAGGACCGTGTGACTGTTCGGATCGAGGTCTGAACTACGATTGAAATTCCCTCTGTCCCAATCAAACTCCTATTTTCCGTACTGGCTCTCTTCGATGTGACTTTAACGGCAATGGATAATGGTGATGGGTTGAAGATGGAACGAATGAATGGTGAATACGGAAAATTCTCGGGTATTCAATGATTTTTCAATTTCACAAGAAAATCATTCGAGGGTAAAACGCTATAATTCAAGAAAAAAAAAAAACCCATTCATCATTGGAATTTATCTCTCTGAGGATAAATGGTCTAAGGGATTTTCTGTCCTCCGAAATCATTATGCAAGTGATAAGTCACATGAACTTGACTTTTTACTTTTATTTTTTTTTTTAATATCAAATTAAATCGTAATTTACACACCAAAAATTACGGCAAGTAATTAATAATTGAATAATTAAGCATTATTTAATTATTATTGATTATCAATGCCCAATTTTTAAAATGAGATTTAAAATCCAAGTTTTTCAACATCGGTAATTACTCGGAATGAAAATTTGGGAGTTTATTCAATTTTTATGAACGATCAATTAATTCATTAAACCCCACGGTATTGGAATTCAGTTGCAATTGTTACTAACAATTAAAAAATCTCACAATGCAGAGGAAAATCCTCTCGAGGCTATTGTTGAAGATTTTATGAATTATCAGTAATGGTTGTATCTGAATCCTCAATGATATGGGTTTTTATTCAATTGAAGCGGAAATGATTCATAAAAGTTTTCAGCGATTATGGAAACTCAATCAATTTTAAATTTTTATGGTAAACGATGATCCATATTTTTAAAACAGCTAGAAATTCCAATCTCAATATGAAAATCGAAGGTTATATTCCATCTCGTCAATTAAATTTTTCAAAAAAACACATTAATTTGCAATAAAATTGATTGATTTGCGAAATTTCAAGTGTTTCACTGGAAATTTCGAAGGTATTTTTATAACATTGTATCATGTTTCAGAACATGTCTATGTGCTCTATTTATCTCGAGTTTGAAACAACCAGCATGATTTTTTTTTTTTGAGAATCGAGTGAAAAATATTCCACCAGGACATAGAGTGATATTTTTTGCCACCCGTACAATCGAGTACACCCTCGCCTTTCAGCGAAATTGCAAACTCTCGTTTTACGCGTACATATTGCAATTTCACGTATGACTATGAGCAAACAGAGCAAATAAAATAATTGACTACTGTAAATGTGAGTGTTACACGCTGGGGGGCCATTTTCCATGCATACGTAACCTCGTGACACTGGATTTTTCCATTTCGCGTTCTTCATGGAAGTGATGGCCAATAGTGCAAATTCAGACGAATAAAATTTCTAGATATTTTCACTGAGAAAAAAAATCTTTTCATTTTCAGGAATTGATACTGAATTTTCAAAGATTCTCAACCCTTACTCTTCAAATTTCTATTTAAAAAAAATATATATATAATTTTGAGAAATTTAAATCCAATTTTCTAGCTTATAAATAAAATAAATGTTATTGCTCCATATGATGATTAAATTCACTGAGATTCTAGTCATTGAATAATTAATTATGGATTTTGGATTTTTCCATTTCGCGTTCTTCATGGAAGTGATGGCCAATAGTGCAAATTCAGACGAATAAAATTTCTAGATATTTTCACTGAGAAAAAAAATCTTTTCATTTTCAGGAATTGATACTGAATTTTCAGAGATTCTCAACCCCTACTCTTCAAATTTCTACTTAAAAAAAATATATATATAATTTTGAGAAATTTAAATCCAATTTTCTAGCTTATAAATAAAATAAATGTTATTGCTCCATATGATGATTAAATTCACTGAGATTCTAGTCATTGAATAATTAATTATCACTCAAGACGAGAAAGCCAATTTTCTTGAATTTTCACGACGACTTTGGTCTGAATAATGGCAGCACATACCATACCGAAACAAAGCTCAACTGGGCAAAAACCACGTGAGTAATTCCGTTGAGTAGCTCTTTATGTTCACTCGACGAAGAATAAAAAGAGAAAGGAATTAGCCTGAGAAGGGAGGGAGAGTCGAAGAATGAGACATCAATTGCACAATTGAGACTCTTCTGCGGTGTGCAGATGCGGTGTATTGAATCCCCAATAAGTCCAATGAATAAAGAGCTTTCATGCGTCAAAAATTTACCCATACAAAACGAATTTCGCTCATAATCATTCTCGAGAATAAACTCCTCGGACGAATTGCCAGAAAATCAGTTATAAAATCAACAATTGTCACTGTTTGATAAACGCTATCTTGAACCAATAGCCAGTGAAAAATTGTAATTGGCTCGTGCATGCATGCCCCAAATATTATAAACGAAAATCGATTAAAATTCAGGATAAACTACCACTGAATAAACCAACATTGTAATTCTCTCGGAACGTTAAAAAACTTCGGATCACGAAATCGCTTTTTATCGAATAATTATCCCACCAAAAAAAAATTGAGGAAATTGAAAATAAATCTGGCGAAATGGAAAAATCAGAGAAATTCAAATTTTCCAGTTTGGTCGACATAAACCGATAATAAAAATCCACGAATTCATCTTCAATCATTCAATACAAAAATTCATATATTCACCAGGTAATTCGACAATTTTATCGGCAAATAAAATATAAATAAAAACATTAAACTCGATCCGCTGTCGAATTTTATTCCCTGTTTTATCTCCGGAAAGTATGAGTTCTCAAAAAAAATTCATACCGAAATAATAGAGTGAGAAGTCAAACGAGAAAATATCGAAAGACTTTTGTTTCGTAAATTTAATAAATTCCAAAAGCGCTTTTAAAATTTCTCCCCGAAATCGCAAATTTCCTCATCAAATTGATAATTCCTAAAAGCATTAAACCCGATTTATGACACAACCATTGACTCTTAAAATGTCGTCCTCAGGATTTGATCCTGAAGACGGACTGTCCCATTCTCCATCAAGTACTCCAAAAGGTCTGATGGCAGCATCCCTCGATACCAAGCCCATCCTCTCCACAATTGTTCCAAAAAAAAAAATCCTTGAAACGATGACTCAGGGAGTGGTACAAAGACGAGGGTCGAAGTACAGTGAAAAAAAATGAAAGCATTTCTCGGTGTAACCTACATTATTCACGCGACAACGGGTGGGGGGCAATGAACCCTCGTGTTATGTATGCGAGAGAACTAATCACGATGCAGTAGAGTGTATTGCATATAAATTCATTGATTTATCAATCACGAATGGACAGACCGGTGGGATTGATATTTTCTGGTATCAAGGGGAGGACCCTTTAATTTATGAATAATTATTTATTTATTTAACTCACCGCAATGCAGTGAAAACCACGGGAGAAACATACAGGGCTTCCCTCCGTCGTGGATAACGTGAAACGGGGGTTGAATTGGGGTTGTCCGTGACCAGAAGCACTGCATAACCAAATGCCAAAAAAAATCTATTATCACCCCTGTCTACATCCCCATCCGGATGGCATCAACACAAGTTCCACCTTTCACTTCTTTATCCTAGAACACTCCTTCACTGTTATGCACTCGGAGTCATCGTGAATTCGCGGCTTTTCCTGCGGATTTTAACACATTTAGGATAATCCCGAGAAGACGGACTCTACCGACACTAGCTGAGGCCCAACAAATCGATCTGTGGATGGTTACACACTTGCCAGCTGTCTTTTCACTTCTCTTCTCCTTCGCTGTGTACGTGTGTCTCTTTTGAAGTTATCCCGCCATCTTGCGGGGGGAGCGAATTGACCTGATCGGCGGGAGAATTTGAATTGGTGGAAATCACCGGAATGAAATGACACAATATTCTAATTTATCATTGCCCTTCCATTTTGGAGATTTTTTTTTACAAAGTGCATGCCAAAAAAAATATTGAAATGGTCCCCCGGTGTGGCGAATGAAAATTTTTTTTTTTCATAAACTTTTTGTGGGAAAACTCTCGAGTTTAAATAGCTGTTGTGTTCAGACATCCGGTAATTAATGATTTGATGTGAAATGGATGGAAATAATTTTTTTTTTCAATTTAAAGTTTTTTATATTTTTTTTCAATTTTCAAATAACATTTTTTTCGATTTTTAGAATAATTATAATGAAAAAATCATTTTTCAAAGTGATTATTCAACGATAATTACTTATGAATGCACTTTTATTAGATATAATGCATTATACATTTGTCTTTTGTCATTGAAAGGTATTTACAATAGAAATTAGTGCAACGTTGGAATAACATGAGCAATTACCGGTAATTAATAAGAACCTCGAACAGGTTAATTTAACAGAGGGAGAAAATAATTGATTCGAAGAGAGGTGAGAAAGTGGGAAAAGGTGATTAATTAAAATCTTCTTGATAATTGTAGATCATATAATAACGATTTTTCTGAGGTTCTGGTAAAGATTTTCCCTTCGGATTTTCAATTTTCCTTTATTTTTATTTTCGAAGGTTTAATTGATAAAAATTGGGATTATTATTGAAGCTATACAAGCAGGATGGAATGTACCTGTAATCTATCCTTTCCTAATTTATCTCGGGACGATCAGTCTTCCTTATTATTGAGGGTCAAGAAACACCTAATCTCAATAATATACTCCACCGATCAATATCGAACGTCGGACTTCCGCTTTTTTATCATCTCATTCTTTAATAAAAACAAATCGACAGTTTCAATAATAAATCTAGCGGTATTAATATTGAATTCAGTAGCAAAGACAATTAAGAAAAATCCTGAAAATTCAAATCATCTTAGGATTTTGCCACTGAATTCTGCTTGAAAAATTCTCAGCTGTTCTGGACGGGTAATTTCATATTCGCAGTGACGAAATAATATTCATTTAACAATCATCAAGTCGCCAAAATAGAAATATACATGAATTTAATATCGTCTACACCATTTGTCTCGTTCCAATGATTCCAGATCCGAACAAAAAAAAACGGGTTACTCCGCGACAAATAATTAATTATCAGTGATCCTAATGTAAAATTTGTCTACTATATACTCGCTAACAAAAAATAGTTCCATATTTTTTGTGTTTATCCATGTTTTTTTTTTATCGCTCCACCTGTTAAAACCCTTAAAATATTCGTTAACATTTCAAAAAATATATATCTTAATCGCTAGAACATAATTCAATAAAACATTACCATCGTTAAGTAATTTTGATGATGTCATCTCGATCATTTACATTAAATTGCTCGTTAATCGACATCCACGCCTTAGCCTTGAATTTTCTCCCGGTAATTTTCATTACCTTTTCATTATCTCCATGAGAAAATCAAAAAGTTTTGACTGATCACCCATGAATACTGAGATTCCCTCAATGTAAGAAGTTCACATGATCAATTGAACTCCTCAGAATGCAATTAAACTCAATTAAATTCGAAAAACACCACTGATAAGCTCCTGGAGCGGAACAAGTCTGACTAAGACGTAAATATCGATAATCAATGCTCCTCGACTCTCGAAACTCCCCAATATTATTCTGAAACGGGCATATCTCAAGTTGTATGTTACAATTGGAAAAATTAATAATTCTGTATGGCCTTATCTCGAGGATCTCACTATCATCACTTTCCCTACGACAATTTTTCCATAAAAACTCTCATCCCTGCATTTGGAATATTATAACAGAGCTCTATTATAAATATATGTACACATTCGCATTGAATTCTAGAAGAACTGATTGCAAATTTAAACTCCAGTAACCTGTGGAGAGTGTGAATTAACGCTGACATTAATCGGAATAATCGTCAATTTCGAAGGAAACTCGATACGAAAAGCTTGTATATATCCATGGGTGTATATATATATACATTATATTACAGGTATAATCATAAAAAATGGTATCTCGCGCTAATCAACACCAGCAAATCCTTGTGAGCCCTCGATAGCTTTTATTAGCTTGTCCCTCAGCTGCTGATAGCTCTCGTAAGGTGGTAAATCAATTCGATTGAAGCTGAAAATTAATAAAATTATACAGTGATAAATTTGAGAATTTATCCTCATTCAGGCAATTGAATAAAGTAGGAAAACTCACCAAGTATGAGCCCTAGGATAATTCTCTGGTGTTCCCCACTTCTCAATAGTAAATAATTGTGGTCCATTGCTGCCATAAAGCTCTTTAAACCCATTCATCGGTACCCGAGAAGTGCCAGTAACAAATTGCAGCAGTCTAGCCCGCATTTCATTATTAAAAGACAGCAGCACACGCCAGAACCATTGAACAGTGATATGATTAGCATGATAATCCCCTTTGTAAAGAGTGTTCTTCTTCCAGTCCTTAACATCAATATGTTGAATTCCACACATGAGTAGCTCCAGCTCATGTTCATCAAAGATCTTGACAAGTGTCAGTGGTACGAGGGCATTGAAACCATCGAGAAAAGCATTCATCTGGTCCTGAACACGTGAGACAAACCTCCACTGTATCACCAGACTAATGTATTCATCTTTATTTTCATCTGTCACTGGTACATTTGCTCCATTGGCCTTCAATTCCCTCTGGGACGTGTGACCAAAGCTCTCCTCATCCACACAAAACGTCAATTCCAATTCTGACGGGTCATTCTCTTTAATCCACAGGAGGGAATTGTAGTATTCCGAGTCTACAGACTCCATATCCTTCAGGTCAATCTGCTTTCCAAGCATCATTTTGTAGAATGGACGAATGAAAAATGCATCCAGTAATTTTCCATGGTACACAGCCATTCCAGCAATTCGTCCGATGAATTTGAAATAATTCAGGTGCTCCTCATTGCACACACCGGAGAATGGATTGATTTGTAAAGTATAATTGTCCATTGCTGAATACTCGAAAAGTCCATAATACGGATTGAACATCTCCTTGGAGAGTAGGAAGAACCACTCCCTGGCGAGTCCACCATAGTCCAGTCCCACTTCACCCTCAAATTCAACCCACAATTTTGTCTTGAGAATTTCAACTCTGTTGACTGAACTGATGATTCGATAGGAGTCCTCCAGGATATTACTCCTGCCAACTTTGATCTCAAATTTATTAGGCACACTGCTGGGCTTTCTCAGCTGGGACTTGAGATATTCGTACTTCAATTTGTAATCACGAGAATAGGGAACAGCTGGTCCTGCTATCTGGGGATTTGACATGCGTGGGTCCTCCCACTGAGTCGTCCTGGTGTTGTGATCGATGAAGAATATACGGCCGTCTGTGTGGACTCGCTCCTCCCAGCCCTCTGGCAGGGGCCCCAACTGATCTAGATCACTTCTTGGGGTTGTTGAAGGCAGATTGTGGTTGGGCATTGGACTGGGACGACCTGTTCTCGGATCTACCCAGGTCGTTGCTCTCTCATTGTGATCGATGAAGAACATTCGACCGTTCGGGGCCAGTTGCATGCTCCATCCAGGGGGCAGCCCATCACCATTCGGTATCGGCAATGATGGCTAATCATTTTTTATATTCATTATTAAACATTTCAATCCCTTAGGTTTACACAGAGGGCAATCCTGATGATTCCAATCATTAAAAAAAAAATTCGTTTGGACGAATTTAAAAAAAAAAAATTTTTTTAGCGTTTCTAGTAAAATTTCCTCTCTGTGTAAATGTAAAAATAATTAAATTGATTGGGCAAGAGTAAATTTAAATATTTTACCTGTTCGGAAGATCGTCTAGAACCCGCTGGGCTGTCAACATTATCGTCACTCTGTGGGCATACGTTTAAAGATTGCTATTTTTTAATTTACATAATTTTGAGAGGCTTAAACGATTCTTCCTGATTAATCCAGCCAATGGACCCCGAGGAAAAATATATTCAAAAAATATATGATAAACGCAAATTCCTCGCAATCTCAAAACGTAGAATACAGAAATAAAAATTAAATGGTACCCAAAGATATGTTTTTTTAAATATATTATTTCCGTGTGGGGGATTCGATCTAAAAATCACTATGCCCTCGAGAATTCTGAGAATTATTCAGAAAGTACTAGACACTCGGAATATAAAGAAAAAAGTGTGCAAAAAGGTTTAGTCATTGGTGAAGTGGAACAATAAATCAATTCAGTATCAAAGCGATGAAGAGATAAGTTGAATTCACAACTTTCCTTATCTGAAAAATTATTGACTCGTGGTGAATTAATTCATAACTTCATTGTCGACTATTAATTCATCATTGACTTATCCGTATTATTTATTTTATTATACATTCTAATGTATTGATTCACCACTTCCCACAGACAAGGCCAGTGTATTTTTTTATTAAAAAAATGAGGAGCATCTGTCAACAAAGCAATAAGCAAATCAACTATCGAGTACCTGATCATCACCCTCAGCTAGATAACCCCGTTGGTCGACAGACTGTCCAGAGTCGGAGGAAACATCCCCAACGAATGTTTCCCCATTATCACTATCTCCACAATCGTCTTCCTCTCGAGTTAATTCCCGATCCTTACACATACATGCATCAATGATTCATCTTTCATTTAAACGTAATTAGTGCATGCCACTTGTAATCAAAATATAGAAAGATCATTTCCTGTACTCTAAGCTACGGCTAATTCCCCCGAAAAAAAAAAATAAATAAAGACTGAAGGGATCCCCATACCAAGCAAACACAATTAGCAATGCCTCCACCAGATGACTGATTAACCCCGTTGATTATCTCCCCAGCAATCCAATCCAATGAATCTCCTGATTTCCTCACCTGACTAATTGCAGAAGTTCGATGGGACCTGCTCTCAGCATCATCCACACTGATGTGAAATCTTCGTTGGAATTCGGTCGCTGCTGTGTCTAAATTTCGTTGCTCCACGGTCACACCACCCACTGGTGCAGCATTGGTCCTAAATTTTTTTTAAATTGATTACATTAACGCCAATTATTCCTATCAACATTAATTCATCTTCACTCACGTAGTCGGACGATCCCACTGGGTGAACCTGGCTATGTGGTTGACGTAGTAGGTTCTGCCATTTGCATCCTGACGTTCCTCCCAGCCTGGTGGCAGTGGCCCATTTGGTGTTGTCTGAGTTTAAATGATTTATTCATTAATAGAGATAATAAATAAAAATAAAAATTCCATATTTACATCAGACTGTTGAATAGGGCTATTATTTGAGGTAGGACTGGGTTGATCCAGCAACTCCCAACCCCCAGAGTCCGAGACGTTATCATCATTGCTCTCAGGAGTAGACGAGTCTCCAATGTAAGCGTGATAAATCTCCAATGTCCCTTTGATCTTGGGACGCTGACTGGAATGACTCCGCGGACGCAGAATATATTGTTTAGCTGGAATTGTTCTACCTCTCTGTTCTTTTGGCAGATTAGCCAGTGTCAGCTCGATCATTCCCAGAAAATCATCTCGCGTCAGACGATTCTCATCGAATACCTGAAGTACTAGTTTGTGTTCACTAGGTTTCACCTATTCACATCCAGAGAAATATTAATTAAAATAATTTGAGGCAACTGGTGCAGGTATTTCGTAATTAAAATTATTAATTGGCCCATTCTCGAAATTCAAATGATGACATTTCGTTTGTACTGGGTGACAAAATAATTTCTTCAAGTTATTCATCCATAATTTGAGCGAGATGTTGAAAAATATTCTTCAACCCGTATAATTCGATTTTTTTATTGAATTGATCAATTCTATGAACAAATCATGAATTAAAATTATTTGGCGTGAAATTCGCAGCGGGCACTCACCCTGAAGATAAATTCCTCGTCCCAGACAGGATTGAGTGTCTTCTTTTTCGTTTTAGTAAGTACAGAATCAACTGTCTCATGCCCCTCAATTGGATACAAGTCAATCCTCACATAAGGATCACTGGCACCGAAAATATCTTTCTTGGCTAGTTGATGTCCAGCTATCACTCGCAATCTCAGCCTGCTCGTAGATTCGTCATTCTAAAAAAAAAAAAACCAAAGAGATCGTAATCACCTCATCAACATCCCCAACCCCTCCACCGCAGAACTCAGCTCTCCCCCAAAAATTCAAAATTCATAAATCCCCAATCCTCATATTTCCAAATTCTTGTAATTAATCTCCGACTACAAAGAAAACATCAAGTCTCCTCGAATGAAGGCGGAAGGGAATGAAAGACCATCGCATTAATTGTATTGCACAATTTGCTGAGTCTGACCATTTCCTCCAGTCGTCATTTCCAAGATTAAAATAATCATTAAGATAATCGTTAAAAAATGGTGCTCGAGGGAAAAGTCATTGAACCATGGGACACGACATCTCAGATGTCCTTCAAATTTTTTTCTAAATTCTCACACTGACAGCAGCGTAAAGCCTTCACGAGACACAAAATAAGTCCTTCCAACCTCTACTTGTCAAAGTGGCACATCAAATTTTACGTACACTGTCATCATCGACGCCGGTTGACGGGTAATATCCGTACACATGATCGTCTGCCATTAATATCGGTTTAAATTAATAATACTTGGGTAATTGTGAAGATATTGGTGTTAGCAGTCAATACGAGATTTGTTCAATCACAATTTTTTTTTTCGTGTGCCATCAAGGAAACCTATTTTGTGGTGAGCAACCCCACTACTCGGTTTTTCCTCTGGAGGGAAGGGGGAAACTTGCATGCCAGACGGATGTGACATAAACCCTGCGTTATTCGAAAATGGCCGCCACTCCTGCCCACCTTTTTTCAAATTAATCATAAGAATTCACTCTTTTATTCATTCCTTTCCTCCAGGCCGATTTCAAATCGAACGAGTTTATCGGTGAGTTTAATCTCCAAATTTATTAAAATCGGAATATTATTGAAATTTCAGACACGATGCCCTGAACATTCAAATTTTTGAGGTTCAGTTTAATTTCAATTAACTTTGGATTGATCATTGATTGAAATTTATTTTTAATGAAGACTTAATTCCCATGTCATTTGATTTGAAAATAAATTGGAGACTCAGACAAGTTGTTCCCTACATTTGAAATATTTTTTTTTCAGGTGCACCTGACAGTAAGGACTATTGCGTCGCCTTGCGTAATTGCGGTGTGTTTATTTTGACGGCAAAAGTGTCATAAACATTAATGTATAGACCGGAGATTAAGAAACCAGTGAAATGCGTTGTTCTCTGCTGAAGCCTCAGGTTTTCAAATTTATTTATCGACCACACCCAGCGATTTTACCCTCCGTCACAGGTAGCTAATCTATTCCCTGTTAATTGCAAAAAAAAAATTAGCTTCTTTGAAAAAATTGAATTTTCAACGGACCCATGAATCAAATTTCCAATTTCAATTACGAAATCTGAAAAAAAATCATCACACATAATTATCACTAAAAAAAAAATCCAATTATAATAAAAAAAATATAATTTCGATAAGACAAACGAATAAATTCTAAATTAAGCATCACCCCAATTTAATTGGATTACTCAAGTACAAAATTGTTTACACTTACTGTTCACATTATTCTCTCAATAAAAAATCTCTCCATTTTTTTTATAGACACGAAGAAAAATAAGAAATTGTATTGAATGGTGTTTGCCTTCATAAAATTTGATGGGAAGAATAAATAATAAATCTTACGAGAGGCTGCGGTTCAGCGAGAGATAATCGGGTGGGTCTTTGCGGTGGTGTAAAATCATTTGTGGATCTTCTCCTAGTGTTCCAGGTGTAGGCTCTCCTCCTCGGAGAAGGCCTCTCGACTCCAGCATACATTGGATCCACCAATTCCCCTGGCATAACACTTATCACTGACTACCAATAAAACAAATCCCCCGTCACAGCTGCTCGCTATTTCACGATCCTTTATCAGGCACATCGGTCATGTGTCCCAGTAAATTGACACTTTGAAATATCGTCATTAATATCTCCCCCAGCCGGTCAAAAAACTCAAGACCCCAATATTTTCTCTCGATTTTCTCATAGAGAAACCGATCTCATCGACCACAATCCCATGAACCGGACAATTCAAAATTACGTAAATGCCCTAGATCATCACTTATCAAGTGGATTGAGTAAATAACACTGAGACTATTAAAAATCATCGAGAAAAATAATACGCACCGAGCATCGAAGCGCACTTACTAAACTGAATAAATTTCTCCTCTCTTTTTTCCTGCTCTGTACAAAAAAGAAAAAAAAAACTTGGGAAAATGATTGGGAAGGCACACCAGTCTGATAACGAGACCAAGGTGTTCTCCCCTCCCTTGAGATAACTGAAACGTTTGCTCACAGACTTGAAAAAAGAATGTCTAGATATGTGCCACGATACTTGACGAAGTAAGATAATTTTGTGGCTCAATATCTGACGAGGAACGCCAGTCGAATAATCTTCAATTAGCGTTTATATGAAAATGGAGTGCTCAAGGTCGCGGATGATAAGAAATCATTAGTTATTGAATGGGCCCGTCATTGTCGATACCAGGAAAATATTGAAAAAATAAAATTCAACTGCTGTTACTGTGTTTCAGTTGATAGACGCACGGAAAATTTTGTTTTGAGAATTCCGTTGATTTTTTATGGGAAATAAAATAAAAACTTGAGCTGTTACTCATTACTTTTCTTATGCTCACGCGTTTATCGATCTTTACAATGCGAAATCATCGATTCAACTGTCGCCATGATAAATACAACTGGTCATATCACTAAAGGAGGAATTATAATGGTCTTGACTTTAATCCCCGGTTAAACTTTTGCTCACTTGCATTTATCGATACGCAATGGGCTTGCACTTGGTATTCATGTCGTGATGAGTCCAACTTGCGGATGGATGAGTGAAGGATAAACAACATTGCTGCAGATTATAAATTCATGAGCGCAGTGGACTTTCGTTATTATCGTGGTAGAAACGAGATGACTCAAGTGAATTTTTGGTGGATATCAGGAGAAAAACGATGGAAAATTCATCTTCGAGTCGTCGATTCTTCTCTTCTGGTCGATTCTATAAATTCCAACAAGAATTATTCAGTAGGAAAATCATAAAGAGAGATGAATCGAATTTTCACAACTTTCAGACATCGATTTAAAAAAAAATACCGATTTTTGACGGAAAAAAATTGTCAATTTTACTGCATGACAGCTACCGGAAAATTCTCGACTTTTCTTACCTCAAATCGATATTGTTTTAAATAAATAGATCGATTTTTTCAATTAATGAAAATATTGGATTCAAATCTCGCGATTTTGTATTGCTTCTGCGCTAGTAACAACATCATGCGCATGTGCAGGACATGGCGCCATCTTTGAATAAAATGAATCGCTTTATAAATCACATTTTCACCGTTTCTGCCTTTTGAGAATAGACCCTATACTTTATTTTATACTCTTTGTCCACTTCACTTATCGTGAGGCATAAAAACGCTACAAAACATTCAACATCGATACCCTGGTGCCTCCAGAAACACCAGAGCCCACCAGTAGATATTAATGACCATTGTCTCATGATGTTCAAGGTAAAATCCCTCAGTTGTCTGAGAAATAACTCCAGAAAAACTCTCGTATCCATTGAAGAGGTTAGTTTTGACAGGTCTGATGTGATCTCCCAGTGATCGTCGCCGGCCGGTTCTCCAGTGGATTCCTTCCAGGAAGAATCCCTCAATCCTAGAAAAATAAGGCGAACACTCATCCCAGGTAAATCACGAGTCCGTGAAGATGTTTGCTTTTGCTCAGCAGAATGCAGTTGAGCCAATGCAGGTCGATGCACCACCTGAGGACAATGACAACACCGAAGAGGAGCCCTACATCGTCGAGAATCCAACACTGGTAATAAATTCCCAATTGTTTGTCAATTGAACTCATGACAGGGCACCGCAAAAATTCAAAAATTATTAAAAATCATTTTAATATGTATTACTAATCTTACTAGGACCTGGAGGTGTACGCCAACAGTTACACAGGTCTGGCAAAGCTTTACCGACTCATCTACATCGCTGACCACTGTCCAAGCCTCCGCATCGAGGCCCTGAAGATGGCAATCACCCACGTTCTCACGACCTATAACGTATCCCTCTATCAAGTGCTCCACAAGAAGCTGTTGCACGCTTTAAACACCCCAGGACTGCCAGACGTTGCTGCCCAATCGACATCAGCTCAGGACATGCCAGTGCTCAATCAGATATGGGTAGAATCAAGATCGAAAAAAGCTGCCCTCAAGCTCGAGAAATTCGATACAGACCTGAAGAATTATCGGAGCAATTCCATCAAGGAGAGCATCAGAAGAGGTCATGATGATCTTGGTGATCATTACCTGGACTGTGGTGACTTGGGTAACGCATTGAAATGTTACTCGAGGGCTCGTGATTACTGCACCAGTGGTAAACACGTCGTCAACATGTGCCTGAATGTCATCAAAGTGTCAGTTTACCTTCAGAATTGGACACACGTTTTGACTTATGTGGCTAAAGCTGAAAATGCTCCTGATTTTCCTGAGGTCCACAGCAAGGACAACAATCAGTCCATCGTCACAAAGCTCAAAGTAGCTGCTGGCCTAGCTGCACTTGCCATGAAAAAATTCAAAATGGCTGCTAAACACTTCCTCCAAGCCTCCCTGGATCACTGCGACTGCCCGGAGTTACTCTCCCCTGGGAATGTTGCACTTTACGGTGGACTCTGTGCACTGGCCACTTTTGACCGGCACGAGCTGCAGAAGCAGGTGATCTTCAGCAGCTCGTTCAAACTCTTCCTCGAGCTTGAGCCACAGCTCAGGGACATTATATTCAAATTTTACGAGTCCAAGTACGCCTCATGCTTGAAACTACTCGATGAGATAAAGGACAATATACTTCTGGACATGTACATCGCACCTCATGTTAATTCTCTGTACACTCAGATTCGTAACAGAGCACTTATTCAGTACTTCAGTCCTTATCTCAGCGCTGATATGAGGAGAATGGCTGTGGCTTTCAATAGAACTGTTCCAGCACTCGAGGATGAACTCATGCAGCTCATACTTGATGGACAGATCCAGGCGCGAATTGATTCTCATAATAAAGTCAGTATTTTACCCTTTGTTGGCATTAATATATTTTTTTTCTCAGGAATGCTATTGTTCATCCGTGAATTCTATTGAGAGGTAATTGTTAAAATGTTTTTTATTATAGATTTTATACGCCAAAGATGTCGATCAACGTAGCACAACCTTCGAAAAGTCAATAAGCATAGGGAAGGAGTACCAGAGAAGAACTAAAATGCTTCTCCTTCGTGCAGCGATTTTCAAGCATCAAATCCAAGTCAAAGTGAGAAATCCTCCCATAATTATTTTTGCTGTCATTTAATTGCAAATGCAATGAGTATTTTTTTTTTTTCAGTGCCCTCTTCGTGATAATACCCAAGGTGGTGAGATGTCTGTCGCTCCAGGTAACAGTACAGCCCCAAGAAGCTAATCAATGAGCCTCAGAAATCCTCAAACCTCTCTGTTCCATCTGTTCTTTTTCATAATAAATAAATAAAAATTTGAAAAATATTGTTCGATACACTGGAGTTTTTTTGAGAATTATGAAAAAATTCTCATTTCTTGTCGCAGAAGATTCTGAAAATATTTGGGGAATAATTTATACGACAGATTATTTTTCATTTGACCATTTTGATGTATTTGCAAATATTTTATGAGAATGCATCCTTGGGCTCATCGCCCATGACACTTTTTACGTGCCCTCCGAAGAGGATTGACTAAAGTAGAAGCTGCGTTCTGGGGGTTTGAGTGACCCCAGCGGAATTGTAGTACTGCACCCCAAGAGAGGGAGGGCGCCCCACACAATGCTGGGGTGTCCACCAAGTCGACGGGGTGAATTTTTTTTTTTGTTAATGGCTAATCAATGAAAATATTGTTTAAAAACTGAATTTTTGAAAATGGAGAAGATATCCAGTGAAATTGAAAAATTTGACATTTTTGAAAGCGAAACTTTTTCAATATATATACTCCTAATGAATTTATAATATTGCA